GAGTGGAGCTTCTCCTTCAGCCCAGAGGTCCAGGGGACAGAGACCTCAGAAGTAACTGGGGTGGGCGTGGGGCAGCGGCAGACAGAGAAAGGTGTTTGGGATGTGGGAGCCCAGACCTTCCTCCCATCCGCACTCTCCTCTTTCATGACCGGGCCACTCTTCCTGTCTTAACCCTGTGGTCTTTTCCTGTACAAACAGGACCGTGACAGTGCGAAACAAACAAGACAAGCGTGGGGCAGCCCATCTAATACAGAGCGGGATGGTGCTGCAGAGGGTTTGCTCCACTGGGTCACTATCAATGTGTTTTAAACAATTGCCAACTGTGATCTTGACAGAAGCCGTGGCCAAGTCTTTCTCCCTCTGCGCCACCTCCGGTGGGCTGACACAGCCAACCTTTTCGGTTAGAAGCTGGTATAAATTTCGGGGGTGGGGGGAGCTGTCCCCACCCCACCCCAGCAAATCAGAGATTATTTCTCAGTGCCAACCAGTTCCAAGCCCTAAGCAGTGGGGCACCTGCTTCTGGGGGTCAAAAAGCCAAGTGGCCTTGGGATTAGCTGCCCATGGTCTCCTTTCTGCAGGTGGGGGCCAGTTCCCATGTCTGGAGCCCTACCAGGGGTGAAGCCTTGGCCTTTGGTTTGGGGGCTGGGGAAGGGAAGGAAGGAAGGGAGAAGAAGAACTTTTAGAGCTTTCTTTTCTGTTTCTCGGAATGTCCAACGTGCCTCAGTGTGTTGGAGATACTTTCATAGTCCGAAGAGGTTTGCATGCTCAGTTGCTTTGGTTGGGTGCCCAGCGGGCTCTGAGCCTTTGAACAATGGGAAAAAAACACTTCCCAGGCCTTCCCCATCCAGCTTTGCGGCCACAGGGTCAGCCCATCTCATGGAAGGTCTGCCTTTTCCCACCCCCCCACCCTCTACCTTACTAAGAATTACCAAGAAGGATGTCCTTCTTCGGGGACTGGTCCCTCCTGAGAACATGTTTTCAGTACGCCTAGCTTAGTCTCCCTGTCCCCGAAAGAGGGACGGGGACAAGCATGTTAACCAGGGAAAAAATAAATTTTCCAAATGCAACCGTGGGATGGACGTCCCTGCACTTCCGGGGGCGGGGTGGGGAGAGTGGAGGCGGGAGGCGGGGAGCGTGGCCTGGAGGAGCTAGCTGTAGTTATTCTGGTCCTGCTGGTGCCTGTGCAGCTGCGGAGCTTTTTATAAACAGGTCGCCCCTCCACCTCCACCCCAGACCCGCCTCCTTCGGGAGGATGGAGGATC